ACCTGGTGTGGACTTTGATCAAATGCTCTATGTTGCACAGGAAAGATGATGTAAACGTCACAAGCCAAGCCAGATGAGTTCTGTCATTTGTTTTCCAGTGGTCTCCTCCCGCAAAATAGTGCTTAGTTTACAGAGCCCATCAAGGAAAGAGGAACAAATCTCCCTGTTACTGTATATGCTTAGATGTCCCCTTCAGGGCGTCCATAGGTGGGACCTTTGGAAGGTGACTGGATTGTGGCATCTTGTAGCTGTGTGAGAAGGTTTAAAGACCACCAGGAGGAGAGGTGAGCCTGACTGTTGGGGCTCACTCCTGGCAGAAGATATCTTGGCTGAACCAACTTGTCCTTGACCCGCAACTACTGGCCTAATGAGATGTGGCCCAGTTATAGTAAAGGCTTGTAATGCGGATTAAAAGATTGCCAGTCACTTGGCTATGTATAAACAAATGTGTGGTTAAAATTTGGAGCATATTCACAAATACACAGAAGTGCCACCATCCTTTGGTTCATTTCAAGGAAATCAAAGAAATGTCTGTGGGACTCATTGAGATTCTGCCTCTCTTTAATGAGATTTAGCTAAACAAGCTGATAAGAGATAGGCGATATGTGTTCTATCTAAGGCTTTCCACTTATTCTATCTCAGAGGTTTCACAACCAGAATATGAAGGTCATCATCATTGATAGCAGCTACATATTAATTGAGCCCTTTCTATATGCAAGGTATAGCTAATACTTTAAAAAATACAGTGTCCTGGGTGGTGGCTAGAGCTGACATCTGCTCCCTCCCTTGGAGTCCGGACCTCCCCAGTGATGCAACACCTCCTAGTTCACCCTCATGAAACCTCCCGGGAGGTTCTAGTTGTGCAGCTGGAGAACAATTAGCTTTGTAGCAAAGGGTAGGAACTATCCCCTCCCAAAGTAACTGGGTGAGGTGCGCTGTTCACCTGCCATGGGCTGCAAGGGAACCCCCCCGCCCCTTGTCTTCTTCTAGAGCTTTGTGGAGCTGCACATCAGAACCCAGCCTTGTGAATGACTGACACCTCTGCTTAACGAGTTCTGCTGGCTGGCAGCCTACCAAGTGCTTACTTTGTGGACTACGTAATACTCTCGCACATTTAAAATGTAATTGAGGATTGGAATGAAAGGGTTCAGTCCCACTGAATCTTTTCCTTCCCTAAAGTTTTCATCTTCATTCATATAACCACTTTTTAGTAATATTTTATGTATGTCATTTGTTTTGCACTGAAAGAACACAGCAGTGACTTCTGGTGCTCTTTGCCGTAGAGTCCTTCTGTATCGCTAAGGTCTACCTTCTCAGAGCTCTGCTGAAGCTGGACAGCTCCATTTACTTCCCTTTGCAAAGCACTTCACAGTCGGCCTTAGGGCACACTGGTAATGGAGAGTGCGCTGTGCTTCACCCCAGAGAGCACTGCCTCAAAGCCTCTTCCTGTTTACCATTTCCTGTCCCTTCTCCTTATCCCATCCTGCAGGGTAAGCTGTCACACCAGCAAAATACCTTTAGCTTCTTCCCCTCCAGCTTGCATAGTACTCTCTACAATTTCCAAACCCAGATGAGAGATAATGACAGGCCTAAATTCGGATTTACAAGTCCTTATTTGCACAGAGAGAAGGACCTAGAAATTGGGTCTTAGAAGTTATTCTGTTGAGCCTGGAGTTTACTTTGTTAGGCATGGATACTAAATTCTAACTGTGGCTTTGCAATTATGCAGGGAGGAGGTAATCAAATCCCTTCGCTTCTATATCAGTGTCCTCAAAATGTGGTCCAAGCATCTGGGTGACTGGGATGCACATTGAATTTGGCAAACCCTGATCTAATTATTGGATGTGATTGATGAAAAAACCCAGGAAAGGGACTGAAACAAGGATTTATGACCTCCAAATCCTTACCCATACATCAGGGAGTTACCCTGCATTACAGTGAATGGTGAGAATTTCATCAGTCATTTGTGATAGAAAATCCAAGCCCAGAAAATCTCCCTGACCTACAAACTGTGTAAATTGGGGTTGCTTAATCTGGGGTCTGTGGGCATGTCACAAAGTCTCTGTTAAACACTTGTTGGTTAGATTGTGTAGTTGTACCAGCCACGATTCTTTCTGTTGAAAGCTCTGTCCAATGCCATCTGTTTTAAAATTTAAAATGATGTTTATTTAACTGCATAACTGGATGTTTCAAAGTCTAGGCACAGCTGCCTCTGGAGGCTCTGCTGGCTGTGTTTTTTTTGACTGTCTAGTGACAGTTCCTGGCTCCAGTGTGTTGGTCCTCCACTTCACAACCAGCAGGAGGGGGCGTCTCACCGAAGCTGTAACTGGGCCATCTGGGGGTGGGTGCTCGCTCCTGAACAGACACTCTGGCCAAACCCTGTTTATGCTGTAGACAAACAGACACGACACACACATATACACACACAATACACACATACCCCACACATAATACACATACACCATACACATGATACACACACCCCACACTCACAGTACATACACACATGCTTGCAGAGCAGAGGAGAAACAGATTTGAGAAGAAAAATTCTGCCCAAAAACAGAAGTAGAAGCAGATATGCAGGCACATGTTTCACTGCTATTCATACATTTAAGGAAAAGTAGGGCCAGGGATTTAGCTCAGTGGTTCTGCCGTCTGCCTCACAAGTGCAACATCCCAAGTTTGATCCCCGGTACCAGAGAGAGAAAGAGAGAGAGAGAGAGAGAGAGAGAGAGAGAGAGAGAGAGAGAGAGAGAAGTTTGAATAATAACCAGTATGAGGCAGTGGAGCATTATATACTTTAAATGTAATTATATAATGACCAGCATCCTGAGTTTAGAATCAATGGCCCACATTCACCGTCTCCACAAGTCACTCTAAAGCCTCTTGGGACACTTAGTTTTCTTATGTACAAAGTAGAAGGAATGTCTGCCCCCAAAGTTCCTTTTCAAAGCAGACTTTCATTTGCAATTGCTCATTTAATATTTGTCTCCCACTAGATAATAAGACCACGAAGGTGGGGCCTATGGCTGTCTCATACAATGCTGTATCTGTATTGTCCCACACAGATCTTGGTGCATAGCAGATGCTTAATAAATATTTGGAAAACAAATCAGTTAATTCATGGTATAAGTGGAATTGGAGGAAAATACACTAGAATGTTATTGGCTCTGATTTCTGGATTCATACTAATGAAAAAGCAGATTGTATATCAAAGAGAATTTCAGGAAACCTGCCATTATTTAGAGTTAGGACCTTAGATAATCATCAGAGCTTTTTAAGTCTCACTTTTCTTCCTTGGTGAAATATGATGTAAATTTGGTGATCCTTAAAATTCCTTCACCAAAACTAAATCCTGTGAATTAACATATGTGGTGAGCCAGAGGGTGATCACCAAAATATAATGAGTTTATATATTAAATTCACAGTAAAATGATTACTCTAGGTGAGAATCATAGGCCATCAGTATGCATCCTGACAGTAAGACCACCAATTTTATCCTTTTTTTTATCTTTCAAGCAATGATTAAATATTTGCTCTGCATGCTCTGGCTTCTTGATGATTAAAAAGTTAATCTCATTAATCTACATGACTTCCTTGATTAGAAACAACCCCCTTTAGTCCTGTTGGTTCTAACTTTGATTACAATCGAAGCCCAGCTATTGAAGATCTATTATGTGTATTTCCAGAAAAATGCTTAAGAGAAGTTTGTTTTGACCTAATCTATTATGAACAGGACGAAGATGAATCCTTTCTGAAGTATAATGTTCTGCAGATAGAATTTTGGTATCAAAATACAGCCAAGTCCCCATTGCAGAAGAACTTTTCTATGCCACCCTCTTCTACTTTGTGACTTTCTTTGCCCAAGATGGATTAATTGGATTGCACTTAGTTTCCCATTACATTTCCTTGTCCTCAACCATAAATCAGTGTCAACCTTGCTAAACTGACATCCTTTATGATACTTTTGCAAATAAAGTTACAAATCCTTAGACAATATGTTTTATGTTTTTACCTTCTTTTCCTCCCTTGTATGTTAGGTCTTCAGGTACTGTAGCTTTCATATGTCTGCTTCTTAGTTCAATCCACTGAGAGAACAGTTATCAAATATAAACACCTCTGGCAGAAACATGAAAAAGGAAGAAAATACATGACTACTGGCACTCATTTGTAATATAATAAATAGTATTCCAGCATACTGTAAAATTTTGACCTTAAGCAAAAGGAAGTTGATGACTTTAATAGAATTCTTGATAAGCCTTTCTTTTATACTTCAAAACTGCTAATAAAAATTATTCCTAGCTCTCCTGCAATTGCTTTGCAACACATGGTCTTACGTTTCAAAGCCAGAGTCCACTTGGGTTATGCTGGGTTTGTGTTGTGGGCACCTGAAGCTGGTGACGAGCAAGAGTTTTCAGATTGGACAAAGAAGAACATGGTGCATCTCCTCCCTCATTTCTGCACAGAGTGTCCACCCTAGCCATATAGGAGGCACTGCTTTGGGTGCAACTCTCAATGAGTTGAGCTTAATAATCTTCAGACGTAGTATAAGAATGAGGAGACTTTTAGCTATACAGAGACCTCTCCATAGATGTGCAGTGTGGGCCACTTCACTTCTCCAATCTTTAGTTTCTTCATCTGTAGACTGTAAGTGGTACCAGTGCCTATCTCAGAGGGTTGTGCTGGAATATGAAATGACATCATCCTGTTTAAGGTTTAGCAGTGGCCCTGTCTTTATACATGGTGGTCCCAGATGTGTGGATGCCTGTATCTTGCTCTTCTCCTTACCCCTGCCTCTTGTCACTCACTGTGTGCTGTGGTTTAGATCTGGAACATCCCCTCAAAGCCTCCCATGTGCAGGGGTGGGGTTTTGGAATGTGGCTGGATAGTGGGGGTGCCACAGTCAACTTTCCGTTAGAGGGTGGAGTCTGCTTGGAGGTGGGTCACTGTGGGTGGGACCCGAAGTCCTGACTCCTCCCTCCTCTCTTTTCTTCCTGGCACGGCCGTGGGGTAAGCAGCTGTCCTCCACCAGGCCCTTCCTCTATGTCTTTTCTGCAGTGTGAGTCCAAATTATCTCTTTCTCTTAATTTTGGGGCGTTAGGTATTTTGTCACAGGGAGAAAGCGACTAAGATGCTGTGAAAGCAAAGAGATGCCTCAGGCTCTACAGGTAAACCAGGCCAAAGGCTGAGGACACCCTGCTGATTAACCAGTCATAGGTCCTGCAACAGCTTCTACCTCTTCTCCAGTCAGCCTGTGTCACAAACAACTCTTGACGTTCCTAGTGTCAGGGCAATGCAGAGCTGGCTTTCTAATTTAACTTTCAAATTGACCTGACTTCATTGACTTTTGACATCCTTTCAGGTCTGAGAAAAGAGTGGTCTTTAAATATTTTTCACCTCACACAAGCTATAAAGGCCGAGATACATAAAGAAAACTTGAACTCATCAAATTAGAAGTATAGACCTCTTCGCTAAAATGAAAGGAAAGACATCCTCACGCTTTTCAAATGAATAATGGACCAAATATGGAAAACAATAAGGACTTTGCTTTTGTGATAAAGAAATGAGGAACAATTAAGGAAGCTGAAATCACACTGTTTTGGGGTAGCTCCTTCTAAAAGTAGCTTGCCAATTAAACACACTTGGTTTTGGGTTGCTCGCCCCTCCTTCCAGAGTTGGATCCCAGGTCCTTCTTGTCTTGAACAAAGAGTTGAGCAAGACAAGCAAGAAGCAGTGACAATGTTTATTTGAAAAAGTAAAAGTGAAGAGTGAGGGAGAAACTGTCTCTGTAGAGCAAGCTTGGGTAGAGTAAACGAGGAAAAAGCAGGATGAAAGAACACCCCGGAGAAAGCACAGTGGGATATCTTAAGGAAAGCCATGCTAGCAAACTCTTCTTGGTGTCTGTGTCCTTTTATACAGTCCAAATCTTGAGGAATCCCATGAGAACTTCTATATCCGGGTCCCAAGAGACAATGTTGGGGTCCCATGACTCAGGCTGATATCAGCTCTAGGCCATGCTATGGAAAACCCGATCCAGTTCTCCTGAGTAAGGTATGTGCAAGGCTTTGGGGACTGTTTTGTGCCTCTGTCCTAGGGTTTTGTATCTAACAGGTCACACCTGCTTTCCAGCCAGCCCTGCATGTTCCGATCTATGTCAGTACCAAACGTCACTGTTTCTATAGGTGTACAAATATTTGATTAACCATATGCTAGTGTACATTATGGGATCTGTAAATGTAGTGCCCATAAAAATCAACTTCCTTGGATTTTATTGGGAAAGAGCTTCTTCGTGTCATTTATAATGGTGAGCACTGTAGCATAGGTGAATAGGGTGCTATAAAACTACATTTTCAAAATCGTAATGAACAATCTGGAGAGTTCAGTGAACCCATCTAACCATCTTTACACTTGATAGCCTGAAATGATTCCGAGAGTAATCAGAACATTTGATTGCAAACACAATTCATCCTGGGCTTACTTCAGTCACCTTCTTCAACCATCTCAACAATGACCGGTGTCCCTGCTCCTCTCGCTTCATTCTGGTGTCAGGGCTTCTTTACCTACAGATTGCTGTGGCAGATTCTACGGCCATCAAACCATAGAAATTTGCTTGGTATCACTCACACCTTCTTCTTATTCTCTAGGAAGGACTTTGTCTGCAGTTCTAATTTTGAAAGACATGATCCTGAATACCACAATGCTAAATGTTGAAGTCTTAAAACATCAAAATCCCTAAACTTCCCAAATCCTCAGTCTTGAAGGATTTAAATCCTGAAGACCCAGATCATGAAAACCACAGTTCCTACTGGGGAAAGCAACAATCACAGAAGCATTAAATAAGAAGGGAAGGTAGAGATACAAATTCTAGGGAAACGATTAGCGTGTTTTCAGTTGTATGCTGGAGAATTTCAGGAGTTTGAACAGATACCTAGAATAATCCAGTGAAGCACATTTTGAATGTGTACGAGCAGGCCTTTCCAGAGGGCATTGCAATGTGAGCATGAGTGGACTAGGTGGGGAAGATCTGCTCTCCCATGGTGTGGGGGGGTGCTATTCCAACATGCTGGAGCTCTGACAAAAAATACAGAAGGTGAACTGGCTTCTCTCAGAGCTGGGACAGACTTTTCTTCTGTTGGCTGGGGCATCCAGTCTTTGGAGTCCAGAACTTATATTAGAGGTTGCCCTGGCTTTGTTGATTCTTAGTCTTTTGGAAAAATGACAGATTCATGCTACTGAATTAGGATGGACTCGTGCTATCGTGTAAATATTGTGCAGGTATGTAAAAATGCTCAGTGTCCCCACTAAATGAAGAAATGACATTTTGTACATCTGCATTTGTGAAAAACAATTTTTTTTTGCAATCTCAGATCTATGAGTAACTGCATGTATGGTAGTGATCCATTGTAGCTTTTGATTGATTTCATCAAAAGATTTAAGTCAGATACCTTCAGTTATAAAGCTGGGTGCACACAATTGTCAACCAAGTGATAGGCAGTTTTATTTGTTGTTTGACTTATTTATGAATACAGTTTGTTTGCTAATAACTATTCAATTTGTGCAACTATTGTTAATATATCTGAGTGTTTGCACTTGAAAAGATATGTACGTGATTATTGCCTTGTTTGTCATATAAATTAGTCTATGAAGTGTTCCATTGTATTTTTATATACTTTTGTTTATTTTTTTCATGTGGCAGTGGGGATCAAACTTTGGTCCTTGAGCTTGTGAGGTAGGCAGTGGAACCACTGAGCTAAATCCCTGGCTCTATATATTTTTAAATGTGTCCTTTTAAAATATAAATAAATGCCTTTCAAAGAAATTATCAAAATTATCTTTCCAGAGTTGTATTTTAGGGATTTAGACTTTTCAGGATTTTAGGTTTCATGTGAAAACACGTTTTTATGCCTCCCTTTTTCTACATCTGTCAATTGCAGTCCTAATGAGAGCTTCAAAGTCAGCTTTGCAGCACCTGCTTTCTCTGAAAGGCTCTCTTCCAGAAGTCATAGTCTCCACTTTCTTTTACACATCTTCATGTGTACATCAACATCTTCAGGCTGATGTTCTAGCTGGCAATGGTTTAAAAGGGAAATGTGCCCCCCCACTGCTTGGGTTAAGAGTGGGAGTCTTGTTACATTGTTCCAAGGGCACTCCAGATACTACCTGTTATACCAAAAGCTCACTATTGTACGTTTCCCCCTTCTTAGGAAGGCTGGCCAGTTACAGTAATTGAAAAGGATTGAATGTGGATGCTTGTATGCAAAATTAAAGCATCGTCTTTGACCTTTTGAGATAAGAGACACAAATAGGTTGTGATCAGTGTTCTTGGCTACTGTTGTGATCAGTGTTCTTGGCTGCTGTTGTGGTGAAGGAATCAAATTTATAAATCAAAGCTTGCAGGAGGGAGCGGGTGGGATGGAGGCACTGGGCAGAATTCTAATGTCATCCCAGCCCAGCATTCCACACCGTCCCTTGATTAGGTCAGGTTCAGAAAGCCTGATTAGGATGTGACTAAGAATATTTATCCATACGATTTTTATAATCCTAAATTATAGAATATTTTACTTTAATGCATTAGTGGCTAGCCTTTCAAGACTGGAAAAAGGATAACCTGGGCAGATATCTGAGGTAAAAATCATATTTTTCTCTACCCTTTTTCCAAGGCAGGTCAGGGGCCAATGCTGTGCTGCTTCCACCTCAAGCAGCTCTCCTACAAATCTGCCTGAAGGAACCTCTGGCCAGATGGCTTTGCTCTAGTTTATTGCCTTATTTGTTTTCAGCAGCATGACAGTAAGAACTTCCTCTTCAGGGAGGAGGTTTCAGCTGGGCTCTCACCCATCAGCTTCTCTTTACAAGCATTCACACAAGAGCATTCCACCATCTTGGAAGCAGCAAGCACGTCTTCTCTGTGTCCTCATCACACACTCTTGTTTGTCGTCCATTTGATTTTTAGAAAGCAGAGCTTGGACCAGGCTGCTCCCACCCTCTTCCCATCACCAGTGCTGATGCTCCTGACTCCCTGCAAGCTTCTTCACCAGCAGTCAAACTGGCCTGCTCGCCCAGCTTTGGAAAGCCTTTTCACCTGGAATTCCTGTTTCTGGAAGGCTCTTCACACCCCTGGTCTTAACTTCTTGGAAGCCATCTCAAATGTTACCTTCTTTGTGGATCTGTTTCTGCCTAACTTCTTCTGAAATAAATGTAGACTTTCCCTCCTTTAAACTTTTGAATACTGTATGTTTCTCGGACACATATCATCTCTCCTTTTTATTATAGCTGTCTTTCTGCCAGCCTGCAAATGTTTTATAGGAGTGTGGGTTGAGTCTCAAATGTTTTTACATGACTTGTGGTGTTAGGGAGAGTGGTTCATACACATACACACAAACACACATACAAGTATATTTTAAAATAAAAAAGTTACATTCCTGTGTAACACAAATATATATAAAATTCACCAGAGGTTTCTGTGGTCCCTGAAATCACATTGTAAATAGTCAGCTGAGTTAGATAGAAATTGATATACAGTCAGAGAGTGACTGGACCCTCAAGGAAGTCAGCACAAAAAATAAAGACATCAAGCTGGGCGTGGGGGCACACATCTGTAATCCCTGTGATTGGGAGGCTGGAGGCCAAGGCAGGAGGATTTCCATGAATTCAAGGTCACTCTGGGTTATATAGTGAGTTCAAGGCTAGTCTGCACTATAAAGCAAGATACAAAGCAAGATTCTGTCACAAAATACGTACATACATATGTACAACAGGATTGTGGCTGGATGTATAAGATGGTGATGCAATGGCCAGGCCTGAATGCCTCACTAAGAGGTAAACAGCAAGTTGAGTTAAACTGTAATAAGCATCACTGTTTGACTAAGTCCAGATAGACATCAGATGCTCAAGGGGGTCACCAAAGCATCTGGACCCATTCCTTCCTCAAAATGCCTTTGTTCTTTCCATGTACTCTTGCTACAGAAGTCATTTCCCTATTGGACCAATATTAGCCTAGTGGCTGTACCTGTATAGGTTATTATAGCTTGACCCACATTGTACGCACGTTGGTGACTTTGCTGTGTAAATGACTCCTTATGAAGGACCACAGTGGCCACCCATTTGGGACCCCTTCTAAAAATCCAGGAGCTATTCTCCTTCCCCTTATTTCTGATAAAACTCTCATAATTTCCTCCTTTGCTTTATGACTTCATTCTTTGGCATTGTGAGATCATGAACTCAACACATTGGACATCTAACATGTCAGGGGTTATAATTTTCCTATATCAATCTGATGGATGAAAATCAAATGGATATTCAGGATGTATGTATATATTCAGGATACTTACATGATATATATGCAGTTATATACAGGATATATGTGATATATAGGATATATAACACACACATATCTTATATATCCACTTAGACCTTTTAAACTTGGTGAATGATAAATCTATGGTGATCTATGGTGAATCTATGGTAAATGATAAATCATCGAAGTTATATTACAATTCTGGGAACAATGATTTTCCAAGAAAATTCATAATATTTTTTAAAGTTAATCAAATGGAGAAAGTGTGAGTGTGTGTGTGTTTTAAGTGAGAATTTAAGTTATAAATACTGGATTTCTTTCTAGAGGAAAGTAAAACTGAGTTCCTGTCTCATGCCAGAATGTATTCTAAATGACACAAAAAATTACATTTTTAAAAATTACTGAATCTATGAAATTACTAGAAGAAACAAATAGAGAGACACACAGACACAGAGAGAAAGTGAGAGAGAAAATCTTGAACTGGAACAAGACCTCTACATATAAATTTTACTTTGATTGCAAAAATTCTATAGTCAAACTCATAAGACAGAAAAACAACCAAAAAATAAATTGCAACTCTTATTAGAAAAAGTTAATTTTCTTAATATATAAAGAATGCCACAAATCAATATAGATATCAATCAATGAAAAATTTGGAAAAGATCAGAAATAATTTATAGGAAATAATATGCTAGCAATTTTTTATTTATATGAAAAAATGATCGACCTCACATATAAGAATACTATTTTTTACATATCAGGCTGGCAAATATTAAAAAGTTATACATGTGATATGCCAATAGACCAGTGAAGCAAATACTCTTATATTACAGGTAGACACGTTCAAAGGAGAAAAATAAGCAGTATTTGTCAAAATTCTAAATTCATAAGACTTGTGACAGAGCAGTTTGCACCTAGAACTTTAGCTCACAGACATTTTCCCATGTGTGCAATGATTGTGGCACCATCAGCAAATCAGAGAAATAAACTAAATTTTACCATTAGGAGATAGGCAAGATTATGATGAACTCTTCTCAGTACTTTGAGAAAAGACTGAGAAAACTGTCTATTGAGATGTGAAATCTTTTTTGAAATATAGAGAACGACCTCTGAACTATATTGTTAGTAAGGCAAAGTAAAAACAAACAGCTATGTGTTTAAAAATAGGTACATGAAAACACATATAAGCAATTGTAATTTTGTATAAAATACTTTCAGAAGGAGACAAAAGAAAATGATCACTTTGCTTCTGAGAACAGCAGGTAACTGAGTTCCTGGAATTTGGAAGGAAATTTTATCAAAGTGGATATACTTTTGTAACTTATGAGATTTGAACTATAGTGGTGCCTTGGATCACATGCACTTCTGTTCACAAACAATTTGGTTGTCAGACAAAAGTGTTTGACAAAATTCTGCTTCCATTCTCAAACTCCACGTCGGGTGACAAACAAGACCAGGGCCACCTTCCCCACACAAACACAAATGCACCCATCTCCCCACAAAATGTAAAACAAATTAAATTCATTAAACAAGGTACCACTGTACCATGGTACTTGGATTAAAAAACTTAATTCATTCCATGATTCTGGGGAAGATGGCCACTTTGGGTTTGTCACTTGATGCATGAACGGAAGCAAAATTTTACTGAAAGCTTCTGTTTGTGAACTGAATTGTTCTCAAACAGAAACATCCACGAAGTGGGTTACCACTGTACTTATTTTTTAAAAACATATTTAAGTGTAATTATTTCTTGATGTCTCAGGTGAGCCAGTTGAATGTAAAAGTAGAAAATACCACTGATATGCCTGGCCAGTCCAGGAAGGAAGAGTAGAACTCACTCTTGGGAACTTGTAGGGTTCAGTTTCAGGAACATCTACCCTGTAGCTTGAAGGCAGGAAGCTCCCTGGGAGGAGAAGCCTCTCAGGAACTTTCCCTAAGAGAGCTCATCTCTAATAATTGTCCTGGACCATCCACTTCTTTACAATGTATGCTGTTGTCTTCGCCAGAGATAGCACTGGCAAGATCATCAGGTGAGATGTTTTCTGTTTATGTTGTGAGTTAATAGAGAAATTTGGAGAGATTGAAGTCTTATAGCTAGGGTTAGTCTTGTAGCTGAGTTATTAGAAAAATGGAGAAACCAGCATTGTTGGTCTTTGGCTTGCTGTGGATTTGGAGCAAGGACTTTTCCCTCCTCACAGAAGCTTCCTTCATACTCTGTACCATGAATGCTGTTATTTCTACCTGAGAAAGCTTGAGGTAAATGTGTTAATTAGCAGGGTCCCCATAAGTAGAGAATATCAGTAGGAAGCTTGCTGGTAAAAAAAGAAAAAAATTTGCATCAACCACAAGGGTTAATTACATGTCCCTCTTGCCCTTTAAAAAAAAAAAGAAAGGTATTTCTAAGAAATAATACCTACAACAGTGACAGATAACACCGATTTTAAGGATATCTTTAAAAAAAAGAAAATTCTCTTTTGGGATTTTCCCGAACAAGCTTTAATTATGCATGGGGAGTCACCAAAGCATGAATTGGGAGTTGTGTCAGTATTTAGGCACAGTCACATCAACACCCTTTGATAAATAGCTTTGATTTTGAAAGAGAAATAATTTTTTAGTTAAATACAGCCTTGAGCTTTGTTGATATCAAGTAAATAGAAATAGAGGGGTTTGGAGAAGAAAAAAAAAGGTGAAAATTATGGTCTTGAAAATATGTGAAATATCATCAGCCTTAATTGTGTGGCCGCTTGACAAAATTTAGATCCCTCTAGAAGCTGTGAGAGGGTGGCGCCTGTCTGCTCTCTGGAAGAAGATATTTTTAAGCTCATTAACTTCATTTACCAAGAAGACAGTGCTTTCTCATGAGAATAAAACCATAGGAGATGCAAAGGGCTTGGTACGAAGATGATATTTTGTGGTTGGATGACTAAACATATAGCTTCACAATCTCTCTATTGTAATTCCCCTCCCTGAATCACTCCTGTCCAAGTACTAACCAGGCCAGACCCTGGTTAGCTTCCAAGATTAGATGAGATCAGGCAAGTTCAGGGTGGAATGGCCATGGGCTCCTTCCTGAATTTCTAAGAGCAATTTGAAAGGGATAATTTTATTTCTAGCCTGTCATTTTCAGGGTAGTTTCAGCTATTGCACTTGTCTCATATACAGTAAGTCCCCGACTTACGAACATTCCAGTTTCGAACTTTCACAGATATGAACACACTTCGCATTATGAACATTTGTAGATGTGAACAAATCATGGAGGCATTGCACCAATATTATGGAAGCTAAGTTAGGTAAAAGTATTCTAGGTGGTCAGACAGGGCTGGGCCCTCGAGGGAGTCAGTGCAGAGGATGGAAATACAATACCACATAATGCAATCGAAATGCATTACAATTGTGGCTGGATGCACAGCTGTTGAAGGCCAGGCCTCAAGATGGGGACAGGATGACCAAGCCTGCATGGGATGCAGAATGAAGTGGGGGCGGTGCTCACCTGGTAGACATTGGTCACCATGGGGTGTGGCCAGAAAACCCTGGCTCATCTCTTTGTAAAAGAAAGCATTTACACTTTGCAACATGACCTGCTTCCCATTGGGTCAATATTACCAAAGTGGCTAAACTTCTAATCCTATTGGTTGATCACAGTTTGGTCCCTCGTTGTACTCACCTTATGATTTTGCAACCAGCTCGTGATTTTGCTCTATAAAACTTCCTCTATAAAGTGGGGCCCACAGCAACCCATTTTTTGGATTCTCTTCTGTCTTTCAGGAGTTGTATCTCCTTCTCTCAATAAATATTTCCTACTCTTAACCTCTGTTGTTCCTTGGGATTCACTCTTCAGTTG